ACAAAGAACAGGAAATAATGATAACTTATATGGGCAGTATTTATGCAATACATGTATTGTTTTCACAATTTCATTATGTTGCTGTGAATACTATTTTGAATCAGTCTTATTATATATGGCAGATGCACCATTGAATGCATTGTGTTGTTTTTATGACAGGTGAATTTGGAGAAGTCTGTAGTGGTCGGTTGCGCATACCTGGAAGGGTGGACATTGCTGTGGCAATAAAGACACTTAAAGGTGGCTATATAGAACAGCAGAGGAGGGACTTTCTGCGAGAGGCTTCAATAATGGGACAGTTTGACAACCCCAACATCATCCGGCTGGAGGGAGTGGTCACTAGGAGTAAGCTGTGTTACTGTGTTTTGCATAGCATCAGCTCATTCCTCTTTAGTCTCTTTTCTTTATTTGTCACTTAACTCCTGTCTTTTGCCGTTCCCTCAGGCAGACCAGTAATGATCGTCGTTGAGTACATGGAAAATGGATCACTTGATTCCTTCCTCCGGGTGAGAGGATTCAATATGTTACAGATGTTTATTTTTATTTAACCAGGAGCAAAAGACTAATTGAGATTAAAAATCTTACCTGTAAACCTGTTCCCTAAGATAATATTTTCCAACATTACATTACATTACATTGCATTACATTACATTACATTGCATTACATTACATTGCATTACATTACATTGCATTGCATTACATTACATTGCATTGCATTACATTACATTACATTACATTGCATTACATTACATTACATTGCATTACATTGCATTACATTACATTACATTGCATTACATTACATTACATTACATTGCATTACATTGCATTACATTGCATTACATTACATTACATTACATTACATTGCATTACATTACATTACATTACATTGCATTACATTACATTACATTGCATTACATTACATTACATTACATTACATTACATTGCATTGCATTACATTACATTACATTACATTGCATTGCATTACATTACATTACATTACATTGCATTACATTACATTACATTACATTACATTACATTACATTGCATTACATTACATTACATTGCATTACATTACATTACATTGCATTACATTACATTACATTGCATTACATTACATTTAGCTGACGCTTTTATCCAAAGCGACTCACAATAGTCTAGTGGGTAGAAGGGGATATCATGCACCCCCCTGAAATATACTTTTAATCAGCTTTTCTAGATTGAAAAAATTGTGTAGAAAACGATTAGCTATGTTAAAAAGTTGAAAAATTGTCCCACGTATATTTTTTTCCCAAATTAGTGTTTATTTACCCTAAAAATCGAGTTTCACTCTTTTTACACCTTTCACTATATCTCAGCCATTATTGCAGATAACTGAAAAAAGGTATCCAGATCCATGTTTTGAGGGTCAAGGAACACAATAAAACTATTCTTAAAGTGATCACATGTGTCTGTGGCATGCTATTATGCTAATTAGTGCCGCCATTACAAGAAAATAGCATTTTAGTCTTGTACCAAGAACGATGCACCGACACCGACAGAGAAATATTCTTATAATCAGTGTTTCCTTAGTGGAAAAAGTATGTAGAAAATGATGAGCTATGTTAAAATGTTGTCTGGATGTCCCACATGTATTTTGTATGCAAATTAGTGTCACCATTACCAAAAACTGAGTTTTCACACTTTTCACTCTATCTCAGCCAATATTGCAGATACATGAACAAATAATGTGTCTAGACCCATGACCAGGAAGACACAACCTTGAAGAAAACAGAATCATATAAGTACATCAGGTTTCATAGAGCCAAACATTTCAAGTGCTACTCAACTGGCTGTAGATAAGCCAGTCCTTTATAAGTGCTCTGTTAGCAGTTCTTTGTTAGTAATTATATCGCTCGAAGTGGAGTCGAAAGAGACGAGTTTTCAGTCACATCATATTGATCCTCTCTATCTCTCCCACAACCACTCCAGACACGTGACGGACAGTTCACAGTGCTCCAGCTGGTGGGCATGCTGCGCGGCATCGTAGTTGGCATGACCTTTCTTTCAGAAACTGGTTACATTCACAGAGACCTCGCAGCTCGCAACATCTTGGTGGATGAAAACCTGGTGTGCAAGGTGTCTGATTTTGGTATGACCAGAGTCCTAGAAGATGACAGTGAAGCAGCCTACACTGCTACAGTGAGTGTGGATCTACAGTTACAGTTACTGCAGGATACTATAACCTCATTACAGTTAGAAATGCTGAACACCTTATTAATACGTTTTTTCTGTGTTTATTTTTTTGTGTCAGGGAGGAAAGATTCCAATACGCTGGACAGCACCAGAGGCTATTGCTTATGGAAAGTTTTCCATATCTAGTGATGTATGGAGCTACGCCATTGTCATGTGGGAAGTGATGTCATATGGTGAGAGGCCGTACTGGGAGATGTCCAATCAAGATGTAAGCTGCTGACTACATTACACCATCAAAACCATTACATATAATTTTCATTGGTCATTTGTATTTAACTCATTGATGTTTCTCTCAGGTCATTTTATCAATTGAAGAAGGCTATCGTCTGCCTGCACCAATGGGCTGCCCTGTTACTCTGCACCAGTTAATGTTGCACTGCTGGCAGAAGGAGTCTAACCTGAGACCACGCTTCAACAACGTGCTCTCTTTCCTGGACAAACTCATAATTAATCCCAGTCATCTGCTGGCTCTGGTGAATGATGGGCAGAGGTTAGTATCAACATATACAAACATTTAGCAAAGGACCATACTGGTGATTTTGCAGTTTTAAACGGAAAGAGCTACATTGATTATTCCGAAAAGTTCTCAAAAAAAATATTTTAATAAAGTTACCAACTGCTGCTTTAGTTAAGCGTTGACAGCTTGAAAATACTCTGTCAATGTGATAGAGGGGTGTCAGTAGATGAGAATAATATAGTTTAACATGGTATACATATATGTAAAAGCTACATTATTAACTGTGATTAAAGACTCATACCACACCTCAGACAATAACCTTGACCCTTTTTAAGGCAGTTTAAGGAATGTGTCTGAAAATGATTTGTAATAATGTTGTTGAAAACCACTGGCATGGCAATTTGAAAAAAAATTTTAGATCAACAATTATGTTAACTTGTATTTCCAACTTTCTATTTGTCTCCATAGTTACCCTGACTCCCCAGAAGACATGCCAGACTACCCTCTTTTCATCTCTATTGGCGACTGGCTTGACTCCATCAAAATGAGCCAGTATAAGAACAACTTCCTTGCAGCAGGATACACAACACTGGATTCAATTTCAACCATGAGTATAGAGTGAGTGAAGCCACATTTTACAAAGTGCAGCTACAGTATCAAAAAGCCCACTAAAAGGAAACAAGCATCAAAGGAACAGAAAAAGGGTGGAACTGTAATAACATTGACATCACTTTTAACCATCAGCAAGACATTTTCTGTACAATATGTATATGTATATCTATATAACTGCTAGTGAGACAATATGTTGTCCTTCCTTTCTAAATGTATTTTTTGTTCATATTATAATTTTATACCAATGTGCTTGTTTCAGGTTTAATACAAAACTTCTTCTCCTCTACAGGGACATTAGACGTATCGGGATCTGCTTAATTGGCCACCAGAGGAGAATCATAAGCAGCATACAGTCTCTTCGCCTGCAGCTTCACCACATCCAACAGAGCGGCTTTCAAGTGTGAGACCCTCGCACAAACACAGACTGTGTGTCTGACACACCGAGCCGGAAACAAGACCGACTTCCTTGGCATCGTCATGTAACTAATTGCACAAACACCAGACTGTAAGGTGTAGCAGGTAACACTCGGTGCTCCTGTGGGAGTGCTCCGCTGCTAGACACACATTTGGTCTAGTTAATTCACTCATCATCGTTTGGACCACCATCAATAGAGCCTCCACAACAACCAACCTCTGTCACCGTCGGCCAAATGCGGTCTCTCTATTAGCTCAGCAACCACTAGCATTCACTTGAATGTAGGACTTATTTTCTCTATTGTCCGTTCAAGTGTTCACCAATACCTCTTCTCTTTCCAAGTGACAATCCAATGGTTTCTATTGACTTTGATTGGTCTCAAGACAGTTACCTCATGACCAGAGAAGATGTGGATAGGATAGAAGGTACGGTAACAATGGTACAGTATGCGATTTTAGTGACAACGAGTCAAGCTGGTTACTGAAACAATTCACCAGGAACAGAATAGTAAATACAATCATGTTTTTTGAGCTTAAGACCACTGAATGTCAAAAGATTTTATAGAGATGTATACGTTCTATCATGATAATGCAGTATGTCTTGTACAAAAAGTCTTGTGAAAGTTGTATGTTTTATTCAGTATGGTTGTTCCTTAATAAACAATCCTATTTTAATACTTTGTTTTCTCTCAGACTCTATCTAACCACTCAAGGCTCAAATCTCACACACACACACGTATCCATGGAAGCATGCTCTCTCTCTCAAACACACATCACATGCAATATAACTGTCCTCTTAATTGTCACTCAGGAGATTGACACGTTTTTTGGACATGCAGAACTGTCAGGTGAATGTGTGGAACAGGTGCTTACAGTAGGTTAGATGACATAAGATGTCATTTTTGACAAATTTGAACAATATTAAATTGTTCACCCTGTCCATATTTTACTATAATTGTCCTTTGGAGTTTACATACATTAAAATACTAATGCGAGATAAAGCAAACACTGCTTAATGAAATACTCACAAAATTGGTAAATGAAACAAGAACATGTGAATAAATAGAAGCTGACTGCATTTGATATATGGCAGGGCTTCAGTTGTCTTTTTGCTCGACATACACTTGGGCTGTAGTTTGTGTTTGTTGTACTTGTGTTTCAGTGTTTCTCTGTCTTTCTTACTTTGTTGTTTCATTTCCTTTACTACAGCAGGAGGTGGGAGGAAGCCTTGTTTGGCCGGCAGGGGGCAGGCTTAAATCAGCAGGTCAGCTGGTCTCCCAGCAACACGGTGTAAATAACTTGTTGATTCCCTGTGGGCTGCTGGAGAGCATGAAAGAGCTGAGGAGAAATGAATGAAACGAATGAAACACTGATTTGAACCTGGTTATTTAAAGAGCTAGATTAAGGGACGTTAAGGTGCATCCTGGAAGCAAGACCCCGAGGCAAAAGTACAGGTACAAATCCAGCTTTACAATACCCTTTTGGAGAGGATAATATAAGCTAACGTAGCTATCACGTTAGCGTTTACTGTAGCACTATAGCGTACGATAGTTTATCTATTCAGTTTACTACCCACTATCTTATGTTGTCTTGTAGAATTAGCGATACAAATTGTTCTGGATGATTTACCTGAGGTTTTAGTAGTTAATGCCCATGTTAACATAGCAAGCTGAAGTAATAACCTAGCGGCTAGACGATAGCTGAGGCTAGCTAGCAACAGTAATAACGAGATTAACCACACAGCTGTTAGTGAACGTAAATTACGTTAGAACCTAGTAAGAGCCTTCTAAGCACGTTAGGCTAAGCTAAGGGTTAGCTAATAAAGGCAACGAGATAATGCGTTTCTTTCTGAAATGCCCAGTTATAAACACGAATGCCTTCTGTTATAGCTAACATTAAATCAGGTGAAATGTCTTGTAAGGAGTTGGATGTACAGTTGCAAGAAAACCATTGAATGTGACAATGTGACCCCTTGGAATTACCTGTATTTCTGCATAAATTGGTCATAAAATGTGTTCTGATCTTCATCTAAGTCACAACAATAGACAAACACAGTCTGCTTAAACTAATACCACACAAACAATTATATGTTTTCATGTTTTTATTGAACACACCATGTAAACATTCACAGTGCAGGGTGAAGGCTAATAATAATAATAATAATAATTTCAATTTATATAGCGCCTTTCACGAAACCCAAGGACGCTTAAGACTACTTCAAGAGCTAATTGGAGTCAGGAGTCAGCCAACCTGGAGTCCAATCAATGAGACGAGATTGGAGGTGTTGGTTAAAGCTGCCCTGCCCTATAAAAAATACACACCAATTTTGAATTAGCTATTCTTAAGAAGCATTGCCAGATGTGAACCATGCCTCGCACCAAAGAGCTCTCAGAAGACCTACCATTAAGAATTGTTGACTTGCATAAAGCTGGAAAGGGTTACAAAAGTATCTCTAAAAGCCTTGATGTTCATCAGTGCACGGTAAGACAAGTTGTCTATAAATGGAGAAAGTTCAGCACTGTTGCTACTCTCCCTAGGAGTGGCCGTCCTGTAAAGATGACTGCAAGAGCACAGCGCAGAATGCTCAATGGGGTGAAGAAGAATCCTAGAGTGTCAGCTAGAGACTTAAAGAAATCTCTGGCACATGCTAACATCTCTGTTGACGAATCTACGATACGTAAAACACTGAACAAGAATGGAGTTCATGGGAGGACACCACGGAGGAAACCACTGCTGTCCAGAAAAAACATTGCTGCACGTTTGAAGTTTGCAAAAGAGCACCTGGATGTTCCACAGCACTACTGGCAAAATATTCTGTGGACAGATGAAACCAAAGTTGAGTTGTTTGGAAGGAACACACAACGCTATGTGTGGAGAATCCAAAGGGTTCACATACTTTTTCTTGCAACTGTATTTGCTAATTAACCATGTGTAATGTTCTCAAGGAAAACGTTACTCGGTTAGCTTTAAACAGTTTAACTATGCAATGGGAAGGGAAATGCGGTTAAAACCAAACCAAAACCACATTCAAAGGAGCTAAACCAAATTGGAGGATAACATTACGCCAATTAAATAATTGTAAATGAGTCAAATCAATCAATCACCTTTTATTTTGTTATGAGGCTGCATGTAACTATTCTTCAGGAAGATCCACTGAGGAGATTCCTCTCCCAAGATGGACAGAAGTGCAATAAATGTTGAGTATGCAGAACAGACCAACATAATAACAGTATGTTGTACAATCCATGTCACAAAATGTGAATTAGAACATGTGAAAAAGATGGATCCAGAAGGTTATCAAGCAGCTTCGAGATGTGGCCAGCATCAGATCTTGAGCCACATAACCTCCAAAATGTAAGCTGGAAAGAAGACGGGCTACTCAAACACAAAAAAAGCACACAAACATACAGGAAGATATCAAATATAGTTCACAAATAGGAGGTCAGCAGCGCAGAATAAATAGCAGTGTAGAAATGCAAAACTGTCACTCTGTAGTAGCTGCTTCAATAGAGGTGCTAATGTAGACCTGTGAAACAACTGAACTGCAATATGTGTATAAGCCGGTGTTACCATTTATTTTAAGATAATGTATGGCCTGTTTCTTGTAGGTCAAACAGGCAGCTGATGGTTGCTTGCTAGCAAATGGGGCTGTTTGACAAGTTGGCAGCATGGCTGGGGTTGAAGAAGGAGGTGAATGTTCTTTGTCTCGGTTTGGACAACAGTGGAAAAACCACCATCATCAACCAGCTGAAGCCCGCTAATGTAAGTCTGACCAACACTTTCTACACATTGCACCTTTAGGTAGCATTGGTGTATTTCTGATATAACTAAGGTATGCATGTTTCACTCAAAACAGATGGGTTAAGTAGAGGTGTCAATAAAACTGGTTTAGATTCTAATTCTTTATTCACATTTCATTCTGTTTTAATTGGGCCTGGTCCAACGTAACAGAGAGTCTGGTTTAGCTTGATGACTGTTTTAAAACAGCCAGATCTTTCTTGACACACCAGTTCTGAAAACTGCAAATGGGGCAAAGTCTGTTTTTTTCCAGATGTGTCCTTACTTTCTCAGTAATTAAACAGCCTTCTTTCATTTGTATCTTCCTCCTTTATCCTGCCCATCTCTCTCTGCCACTCATCTCGTTAAAAAACACCCATCTCTCCAAAACATATACGAGCCGTCCATTATCAGACAGGCAAACAAAATGGTGTCTGATCCCACCCACATACTCCACCCAGAATTCCAGCTCCTACCTTCTGGTAGAAGATTCAGGGTTCCCAAGAGCAGGCTGAACCGCTATAAGCACTCATTCCTACCTATGTCGATTAACCTTCTTAACATTCACATGAAATGAAATGTAGTCAAATGTAATGAAATGTACTTTTTAAATGTTGGCCATGAGGGGTAGTGCAATAGGTCGCCATTGTCAGTATGTGCGTCTGTGTTTGTTCAAACGGTGTATGACTGATGATATGTGTATGTCTCTTAATGTCCACTATGTTTGTATATGTACATGTATGCTGAACTGCAGGATGGGGTCCAGAACAAATTTCCTTACGGGGACAATAAAGTATATCGTATCGTATCGTATCTGGAGAATCAAAATCCACAACGTGATCTGACATTTTGTGACAATTCGTTTGAAACCGTTATACAGATGTACTGCTGAGTTTTTTACGGCTTCAAACATAGCTCAGCCTATTATAATCAAGGCGTGTAACTATCCATTTTATAATCATCTTTAAATGTATCTACAGAACACTTGTGATTTTTTGCAGGTTAATGGCTACCGGGAAATAGATGTTTCTAATGTATTCTCATTATTAAGGTTTTTATTTAAAATATGCTGCGTTTGTTTTTCCAGGCCCAGGCACAAGACATCGTCCCAACTATTGGCTTCAGTATTGAGAAGTTTAAGACATCCAGGTAGCTGTTGATCATTAAACAACAATGTGTTGGTCTTTCAATTAAATTGGTCATCCAAGAAATGTCATGTCATCTTCTAATACTAGCATATTTCTGACTTAAATAAATGAATATCATATTGAAGAATTCCGATACATTATCATGTGTTTATTCAAACTATACAATGGCAATGAGCGTGTAAAAGCTTTCTCTCTTCCCTTCTTGTAGTCTGTCTTTCACAGTGTTTGACATGTCTGGTCAAGGCAGGTACAGAAACCTTTGGGAACACTACTACAAGTGAGTGTTCTTGCATTTAAAGAAACATAAAAACCAATTCTAGTTGCCGTTAGATGTTCATATTAATTATTATGTTGTCTTTATTTTCTCTTCTTTCTCAGGGAAGGCCAGGCTATCATATTTGTCATTGATAGTGTAGACAAACTGAGGATGGTAGTAGCCAAAGAAGAACTGGACACATTACTAAACCACCCTGGTACGCTCATATGTTACAGTTGTTTAAAATGTCAACACGTTTTTATTTTTGCCAACAACAGATATCTAATATTTACTACTCAAGTTGTCTAGATTTCACATTGTTCCAAGTACAACGGAATGAAATGTCTGATTTATACCACTAACTTCCTCTCACTACAGATATTAAACACAGGAGGATTCCCATCCTGTTCTTTGCAAACAAGATGGATGTCAGGGACGCTCTGTCTTCTGTCAAGGTCTCACAGCTGCTGTGTTTGGCAAATATCAAGGACAAACCCTGGCACATCTGGTATGAACATACATGCAGTACTGTTTCCATACTAGTATCCAAAGATGTAAAAAAGGATTTTTGTTTTTACTAATCGGACGTGTTGATTTGTTTCAGTGCCACTGATGCTCTGAAAGGAGAAGGTTTACAGGAGGGAGTCGACTGGCTACAAGGTAAGCTGAGAGTGTGTGTGGTCGATTGTGATCTGCTGGCTGCTTATCCCACAGTGCAGTTTATTAGACATTTTAGGATACAACAAATGAATGCACAAGAGCTTATTTCCTTTGAGGTCCTTTGGGTGTAGTTGTATAGTGTTCCACTTCATCAACATGTGTTTTTTTTCTTTCTATCACGTATAACGCTCGCATTCAAATCCTTCCATAGATCAAATCATACAGTGAGTACTGGGTGTGTTGTAAGTGTGGTGGTATTTAGTATGTTAATGCTTAGCTATAAAAGTGTATGTAAACCCCCTCACTTTTCCTTACCATGTTTACTGTGTTTCTATGACGTTAGTCTTAAAATAGCTGAGTGAGCAAATGTTTAATCTGGACCAGGGGTCGGCAACCCCTGGCACGTGTGCCACCGTAACCAGTGGCACACTAGGAATAAGTGTGCAAAATATTAAAATTGTATTTTCGGATCCTGAACGAGGCCGCCGCCAGGGCGCGTCTCCCCGTTACCTGCAGAAGGAAGCCATGCACGCAGCGCAGCCCCGCTCTCTTTAACTCCAGACGACTTTCTGCCGCTTTCCTCCGTGGTGCAGTGCTGATCGTTTCACCACAGAGGACAGCACTTCACAAATTGCAGTACCCATAGGAGCTGTACAAATGCCGCAGTTTTTGCGGGCTGTGTCTTTAGTTGAAAGCCCAGTGGCGATCTGCTCGTCTCTCATCGAAATAACATGCTACACAGGGGCGGACTGGCCATGTCTGTTCTGGAGAGTCGCAGAACGGACGATCGTCCTTATTATTATGCCATTTAAAACAATTATTTAAATTTGTTTGTTAAATTCGCTAACAGGTCCACACACTGCTTCCCCGCAGCGAGGCTCCCCCCGCCCTCCTGTTGAAAGTTCACGAGCGCCGAGCTCTTCACGTGTGGCGCGTTATAATATGTCTCTTATCTCTGTGATTTAAAGTCAGTTTGGATTCATGGCATGTACAAGAAGTCCAATCACCCATAGAAACGTCTCCTCTAGTGTCATCCATTCCTCTGTTGGTGATCCACATGTTGTATGTTGGTTTCCTCCTTTATGAGAAACAGTGGTACATAAATAACACAGTTTGGTTTTGTTGTTTTTACACAACTTGCTGTATATTTAGCTGTATTTAGCCATATATTCAGTGTTTTTCTTTTATTTCCAGATCAAATCAAGACAATGAGAACGTGAAGGAATGAAGATGGATGTGCTGGAAGAAGCAGCATTCCTCCAAGTCTTATGTGAAGATTGGTTGATTCTGTTTTCAGAGGTACCATGGGACAGTGATGTTTTTAATTTTGTATTTAGATGGTAAAATTAAATTATTACATGATTCTTCTGGTACTAGTAATGAAAGTACAAATGATACCACTGATAATGCCAAGTCAATGAGATACATAGAAATTGGAAACTTTAACAATTTTTTTTGCGACGTACGTGTCTTTTTTTCCAGGCAAGCGTTTTGAGTTCAAGCTAATAATGTGTTTATTAGGTTTAACTCTCTTTCTAAAGGGGGAGTTACATTTAAACAAAAACATCTATTTATATTATCCCTTCCACTCTTAATATTGTTGAGAGTTCCAGAGGGAACATGATTATTTTGATTGGTGCTGTCTTTATTTTAGGGAGCATGGATACCTGGAAGGTTTGTAAAAAAGACATGATTGGATGTGTCATTGTGTATGTGTTAGCCCCTTAACTCTCCCATGTGTTCCACAAATGAAATGTGCCAGATTCCTGGAGGAGAAAGCACATGTTTTACAAAACACCAATATTAGATATTTGTGGCCTGATGTGCTACAATCATATTCATTTCCACACAGCAGGGAATACATGCTCAGATTGAATGTCCACTAATTGAAATCAGGTGGCAGTCTCTCTCTGCCTGTCTCAAGCCTCCATGCATCAGATTAAAAACGTTTAGCAGTGACGTTAAGTACGTGCAATCTGTGCAGGGCTATTACATACAAAATAACCTGTAGGAAAGTTCATTTGTTTCCAGCACTGAAATATGCCAAATGCTCCAATTTCTTTTTGTATGTCTCTCAAGGCCTCTGTAGCTACATTATTACGTGTGTTTGAAGCATCACAGCATGTCAGTTAACAATCATTTACTTCTTCAACAGAAGCACATTTTTGTATTTATTTTACAAATGCAAAAACTTGGATATTGGGTCACATATAAAGCAAGAGTTACTATATCGTCCCTGCAGCTAATATATTCTTGCAGCTCTACTGATGTTTGAATAATATTGCTCTCTTTGAAAATATATTTTTGTGCATTAAAGATTACATTTAATGTAGATTTGTTACTTGTGGTTGCATGTACCTGTATAGTAAACTTAGCTGTAAAAAGTGATTGTTATGAAGTGAATGTAAAGTGAATTAGTTTGCTTAAAATCAGAACTTGTCTTTACAAAGTTATTTCAACCAGTGTTATTTTTTTACTTTGTCTTACTCCATTGCCCAAGAAAAAACCTAATAATATAATGTACTCATTCTACTCCAGTGATTCAAAGGCACACCACTAGAAAAAGGAAAATCATCTGCTCAGTCTGCACACAGTTTTTAATGCAATCCTTTGATCATCTGCTTTAGTCTCTGACTGAATGCTTGCATTAAAAGCAATTGCTGTACAGATCAGAGTGTGTGGTTGCTTTTAGCTTTTGTGCATCACCTCATCTGAAAGGAAGGGGGGTTACTGTTTCTGAGTAATGTCAGGGCAAAGAGTATCAACTAACCAACATGTACATTCAAATATTTTAAATAATAGTGTTTTATATCATATACATACACCGCTTTATCATGTTCTTTAATTTCTCTTCTGCAGAACTATTTTAATAACAACTATGTAGTCAGAAAATATCAGCTTGATATCACCCATGGAGACACTAAAATGTACGGCAAGAATGCATGGGGTGGATAGGATGAAAAAACTTCCTTTACATTTTTTTTTAGTTTAGTTATTTAAGTCGTGAGTGAATGAAAAGAAAAATCATGCTTAGTCGGGCCACCAACAGATCTACCAATCCTTCATATCAAGTACTTTATTTGTGTTTGAAGACAAGAAACACAAGCTGGAAAGTGTAGTTTTGTTGCTTTTTGAAATATATAACTGTATTGGATTTATTTTGCAAGTAGACATAACCAATGGAAATGGATCTTCCTGTTACTTTAAGCCCACTCATATCAGTGTCTTCGTGTAGACCACTGGGGGACGCCCAAGTCCAAGATATTGAAATTGAGCTTGTAGGTGTTTTAAGGTCACCACATTGATTTTCTAATTATATTGTCTATTTATAACTGTAAGACATTTCAGAGTGAAGATTTACTTTCCATGTTCATATCCTTAAGACACCATATGTTATCCATAACAAGGAGAGGAGTCCTGTGAGACCATGTTTCATATTCTCCTGACATCTCATTCAAAACGAGAAGACCCTGTGAGCACTAGTTCACTTTAGCATCAGATACTGTATGTTAGATTGTTACTAAATGAGCTTTGTTGTTGATAACATTGTACGTGTTTATTTTTAAGAATAAATACTGTGTAAAATGAATATTGGTTCATGATTTGGAATCATTACTCATGCTATCTTCTCGTGCTTTCTGTCTCTCTCTCGTTCTATGTGCCTTTCTCTCTCACGAACATCTTGAGGGTGCCAGCAACAGCTGCTCATTAAACATTGAGTCCTCAGCCCTGTAGAATGTATTTGGTTAAACATAAACATTTGTCGGTTGTACAAGTGGATTACATTTTTTATTATTTGTAGTGACACATTGTGTTAATCCGTTACAATAAAGAAGGAACCGTGTGTCGTTAGCATCATCAAGCCTCAAACAGGTAGATACTCAGCCTCAGTGTTTGGTTTGAGAAAGTGTCAAGTTCATGTGGCAGCCATCTGTCAAACATGCAGTTAGAAAGCTGTCCAGCTGTCTTCCGGATGTTTTAGATTTTGGCATCAGTATCAGACTGAATCAGATGTCAAACTTAATCACAGTCAATTAACAGTATTGCGATTGCTTAACTTTCTTTGTGGCAAACTGATCAAAGATTGAATAAGAAGTTATATGGCCCATAGTGTTATTAATAGAAAAAACTTCAGAAATAAAACATGTATTAGAATGAACAAATTCTACAATAATCGTCCCACAAATGAACGATTACAATGTGAAATGAATGAATATTTATCAAAAGATAATTAGCGTATATTTCACATCTCACAAGACTTCACGATGCAGTCCTATCAACTGATACAATTAAGCACAATTTAAATGTTGTCCAACAATGTAAACCTTCAAATACAGAATATATTGGCCTCTGTCCTTGGTGCTCAAACGGGGCGCTGTGTGTTTCTACAGGTCAAAAATAATCTCATCAGCCTTTCCCTTTATGAGCTGAGACCTCAGACCTCTTTAGCAAATAACTACTCCTTTACACCGTCCTCATAGTGTGTGTGTGTGTGTGTGTGTGTGTGTGTGTGTTTTAGCTTCTTCTTTTAAAGTCAGACTGTATCATTAAATCTCTTCTGCAGCTCTTCAGGATCCATCCTAATTGGATGTCTGTCAGTTTTGACAAGAGTAGCCGAGATTAAACGATGTAAGGCAGAGGCGGCCATTAAGTAGACGCAGTTGCTTGATATATCCAGAAGAGAAAGTGGCAGGCATACATAGAACGCCCAAATGTTTCTAATTGCTCAAAGATGGGGAGCATTTTAGTCATATAATTATTCCACTTTGGGCCCAAGTTTCGAGGTTAACAAGCCTGGGTATATCGAATTCTTGATGAGCGTTAAATTGAAGCACTTTTTTGCGTTCGTCATCCGCACCAATACTCTGCTCCTGTTGAGCAAACGTAATTGCGGTTGTAAGGTAAAATGCCAGCTGTATAGATGGTGACAGCTGATAAAAGGCCACATGAAGTATGGCTGCGCAATTAGGGCCGTTACGCGTCCGGTACGGTGGAACAGGAGCCACTGGAAGCATAGGCTACTTCAAGCACAAAGTAGTAGCCTACAATAAAGATAATAAAATAAAACGGTGATAATAAAATACATATTAAGCTATTAAGAGGTACAAAAATAGTAATACAAAAAACATACAACAATCCACATTGAGTGAAGGAATCTCTCCCACGTCCTCAGTCAGGACACTCTGACGTGTTTCCATGCAAGGTGCTTAATAAGAACGACATTTGGTTTCTCTGACGTGTGTATCAGCCCGCTGACGGCACATGCCCCCTTATAAGCCTCAGTAAGTCACCCGGAGACCTCCACCAACGTTTCATTTCACTGTTCCTCGCGGTGCAAAGGGGGAAACAAGGCTCTTAAAAACATCCAACTGTTCTGCTCTCTTTTTCCAGACTCAGGTGCCCCAGCACATGACTTTAGAAATACTTAAGGTAAGTTCTGCATGTGTTTTCTAAGCTTTGGTAAGCTGTTTGACTGCGTTTATCATATTTTAGAGTATGATACATTTGTTATTTGCGCAGGACCAAAGTGCAGATCTTCATGTTGAGGGTCATTATCCACAATATCATTTGGATAAGGCTGTTTTGAACCTATCGTGTTTATATTTTAGTCGTGAATGCTGTGCGTAATTGGAATTTTACGCGCAAGCGTCCGGATAGAAGGACAAACAACGAAAAGAGAAAAAGGGTTTGATCAAAATGCGCAGCTAGAAGACAAACTGCGATTATTTTCAAAAATGTTCACATATTTGTTTGATTATTTTCTTAAAAATGTATATAGGAAATAACATTTATAGGCATATTTGAGTGAATTAAAGGGAATGTATTTTAACTTATTTTTTCTTTGTTTGAAGGAATATAAATAGATTAATAGAGCTGCCAGGTTTGTTTTTTTATACATTTTCACGTTACTTTTCTGAAAATGAAGAGTGAGATTCGACGCAAATAACCTGTTCTGAGTTTGGAGAGACATGCTATAGCTTTCATGACCAATCGACCGCATTGAATCCATTAAATCAGCTAATTAAACATTAAGTGGTGGCTATTTTTATTACAGCATTCCCGTTCAACAAGTCAATGCATTTTTGAACATCTGATCCAACCAGCTGAAAATCTAAAATGTATCTTTATATTAAACGAACCGAAAACTCAAAATGGTGTAGAGGCTTAATCCCAATTTATTGTTCTTTTTTATTATTATTTTACTTATTATGATACTTTTTTATCCGTGTGGCAGCAGGTCTCCATGCCCTCCCGTTCCTAGCGGCATACCGGTGCGACAATGACCATCCATGTAGAGGGGCTTGTGGCTATCGCGATCTTCTATCTACTGATCCTGGTTGTGGGCATCTGGGCGGCATGGAAGAACAAACACTCCGGGGAGGCGGAGGGGACCAACCGCAGCGAGACCATCATGGTGGGAGGGAGAGACATCGGATTATTTGTCGGTGGATTTACCATGACAGGTAAAGTTTGTATGTAATGCTCAATAAAACTGTGATTTTAGTAGCGATGTTTCTTTAAAACAGGCTTTAAAAACACAAACACAGATATAGTTGATCAATTATTATTTCGTTGTGCAACAATCAATAATAATGAGGAAAACATTACCTTTGCTCAACAAGCAGTGATAGTAATGCTAAGTTTCACACAGCCTATGTATGGTTTCTAAATGACACACGAACATTTCCCCTAACCATGTTAACTAGCACACGGAACATCATGTTTTCCATATGGACGCACCAACATCAGAGCAACATGTATGTTCCAGATGTCGAAAGGTCATTATCTCATGACGTCTTTAGGAGCCTTGCAGGATATGAATTTCCCAATTAACAAAACATATCCTACGTTTGCACATGAACGCACACACTTGTATTTACATTAACTAACACACGAACCTCTATAATGATGATTAGAATCTAATCAGCCTCTTTACGTCCTCTCACATTGGGTCAGTTTTACTTAACGTGGAAGAAGAAGAATTATCAATTATTATTGAATTATCAATGGTATTTGCAATTATCTGCTGATAATTGCAAAGACCATTGATAATTAGCAAAGAGACTTATGGGCCTCTTCTAAATCTGGAAACTGTACTTCAATAACATACAGTCATTATAGTTATATTGAGAAGGTCCAAGACTTGACATAACATTTGCACTGTAAACTCTGTAATTGTATTATTTCCTTTTTTTGTACACGTAAAGAACCAGATGTTTTTTGCTGAACAGAGTTGTTTGAGTATTTTTGTTTTACTTAAAGGTGGGTAGGTAATTTTGGAGAAACCAGCTCGAGTGCGCTTGAATTTGAAAATACACAGCCGGAAAAAATCTGCCACTTCCTTACAGAGCCCCTCCTCCAACACACACGAACGCGCACATGACCAATGAGGGCACGAGATAAATTTGTGCACAGATTGAAGGCTGACAGGCAGGTAGGCCATCCAGTTATTTTAGCCGGGCCTGCTAAAATTATTGGTCGTGCTTTTTACAGTACATTTTTTTATGGATTTTTTGTCAAAGCACGTAAGATATTCATTGTTATCGGGATGTTAAGAGCATTCCATGGAATATAATAAAAAGTGTATCTCGAGCCGGTTTCTCAAACTTACCTACCCCAACTTTAAATAAATGACAAATAAACTCTGTAAGACTCTGTCATACATTTTGTAAGAACTTCTCAGATGTCTCTACTCCTACTAAAATGGACAAGTTAAATGTTATTTTAAATCTGCGTTTTCTCCACTGACATGTTTCTTCTGTACGATTTTCCAGCGACCTGGGTTGGAGGAGGATATATAAATGGCACAGCTGAGTATGTGTATCTACCTGATTATGGCTTGGCTTGGGCACAAGCTCCCTTTGGATATGCCCTCAGCCTTGTTGTGGGTGAGTTGTTAAATCACTATAAAAACACATGTTTAATATTACTTGTGTTCAGGCGTATAACAATATATTTTTGTTAGTTGTTTCTACGTTAACTTACCTAGTGACTATACTGATTGAAATTATTGAGGTGCTGTAAAACCGTCACTGGTGCCATTCATCCTTATAAGAGGGCTAACTCTAACTCCCCTTGTTAAATCCTAAACCTGGTTTTCACTGTAGATTATCAGCCTCTTTTTTGTTTCATTATTAGTTTTGTCAATTTTAACAGATTAATTCAAATAAACTGTCATTTGAATATACATGAGCGCAAACTTGAGTACAAGAGGCAGTTTAATCTAGACCTAGTTATGGCCTGTGGATGGCTGGTACCTTCTAATGTGTCCACTCTTTGTCTCAGGTGGCCTTTTTTTCGCTAAGCCCATGCGCTCAAGAGGTTACGTCACCATGTTGGACCCCTTCCAGCAGATATATGGGAAACGTATGGGTGGACTCCTATTCATACCTGCACTCATGGGAGAGATCTTCTGGTCTGCTGCCATCTTATCTGCCCTTGGTAAGTTTCTGTCAACAATAAAAAAAAATTATAGTGGGATCATATGATTAAAGTGAGTGTTGTCTATATGATGTTGCAGTGACCATAATACCTGTTTGCTCATGACCATAGGTGCCACTCTGAGTGTCATCGTGGACATCAACATCAAGATGTCAGTGGTTATCTCAGCTCTCATTGCAATCTTTTACACCCTGGTTGGAGGACTTTACTCTGTGGCCTACACTGACGTGGTGCAGCTCATCTGTATCTTTATCGGCCTGGTATGTTTATGTTGAGCAGTAGTAAGAGTATTGATTGCCAATAGTGTCATTAGATTTGGTTCTTGAGTAGATTTGTTACATTTCTTGCACAACATGTACTTTGACCTTGACCTTAAAAAATGCTAAAACACTCTAAACTCATTTTCACATATGAAAGGTGCCAAGTGTGACAAAAATGAATTTGTGACAAAATTCTCCAGAAGTTATTTTACCATTTTGCTTATAGGTATTTGGTGTTTATTGCTGTGCTTGTTTCTGGTTGTCTGCAGTGGATCAGTGTCCCTTTTGCTTTGACCAACCCCGCGGTGTCAGACATCACCGTTACTGCTGTGAAGCAGGTGTACCAGTCTCCTTGGAGAGGCAGCATCGGCAAGAACGACACCTGGGTCTGGATCGACAACTTCTGCCTCCTGGTACAGTCACCAGTTATTCACCTCTCAATTGGATAACCAATAATTGGTCTACTTACTAACTAACTAACTAACTAACTAACTAACTACATACCATCAAGTTGAGTAGACAGTCAGAGAATGAATCAGTCATTAAAAATTGAATATACTCCAGCTCTTTTCAAAATCAGTGGTTTCTTATGAAGAGGAATTTCATGCCCTCCTGTTAAATGTGTTTTACAAAGTGTTTACTTTCCAGATTAAGAGTCTAAGGCTAAGTCCCAGTGAGGCACATTTGTGAGTTTGGGCTATAAAGCCAAAAGAGAACTAAAGTTATGCGAGGGTTATTCACTGGTCTCTAAATGTGCTACAGATGCTTGGAGGAATACCCTGGCAGGTGTATTTCCAGAGGGTCCTGTCGGCCTCCTCGGCCACCTACGCCCAGGTCCTCTCCTTCCTGGCTGCTTTTGGGTGCCTGGTCATGGCCGTGCCCTCCGTTCTCATCGGGGCCATTGGGGCCTCCACAGGTTAGAGAGCTCACAGTCTGTGTTTGTGGTTGTTTTTTGGGGGGGGGATGCTCTGGGTGGGTACATGTTGCCCTTAGATCTAAATAGAGCCTGGTAAATAGCAGCTGGTGCACCTCATCCATAATGAAGCAAGAATCCATTTAATAACCACACTGGCTGTGTAAATATTACATTAGAGGGAGGCAAGGGACCAAATTAGTGGTTTGATCTCCAGATTTCCAGGCGTAGGATTCCTCAGTGAACACCAGGATATACAACTTTATTTTGTCTTGTTTTATCATGAAATGAATAATCACAAGCAAACTAAAAATAAATATTGCAATGCTAATAGTTGTGCATGTTTTGTAGCAATTGTATGTTTTACAATATGATGAGTAATCTAAGGCTTACATTGTATTTTACATAATAGTTAATAGAATTTCCGAAAAATTGGAGAAGTTGGTTTCTCTGGAGGCGAGATTAATATGTATTTATGTCACAGTACATGTATACTAGGCACACTGGATATGTCATGTGATCTCTCTGTTGCTCAGACTGGAACCAGACGAGTTATGGGGCCATCGCTCCTAAAGATAGGGACCAAGCCGACATGATTCTACCCATCGTGCTCCAACATCTTTGCCCTCCATTCGTCTCTTTCTTCGGACTTGGTGCAGTGTCTGCAGCTGTCATGTCCTCCGCAGACTCATCCATCCTTTCAGCAAGCTCCATGTTTGCCAGGAACATCTACCAACTTGCTTTCAGACAGTCCGTAAGTACCTGTGTTTGCCCTGAAGTCATCTGAAGTTTTCTGTCAGAGTTTATACAGAACCCATGTTTCTTTGACTGTCCTGCACATGTCACAATACTTTCTTTACTCTTCTCTACCTCCTTAGGCGTCTGACCGTGAGATCGTATGGGTGATGCGCATTACTATCTTTGTATTCGGTGGCCTTGCTACATTGATGGCGCTTGTGACCGGGACAGTTTACGGGCTGTGGTATCTGAGCTCAGATCTGGTTTACGTCATCATCTTCCCCCAGCTGATCAGCGTGCTCTTTGTCAAAGGCACCAACACGTACGGCTCTGTGGCTGCCTACCTGTTCGGCATGCTGCTGCGTATAGGTGGAGGTGAGCCCTACCTGCGGATGCCCCCTTTCATTTATTACCCTGGATGGACCACTGAGCAGAGGATACACCACATGACTGGAGAGATGGAGGATGTGGTTGTCCAGAAGTTCCCCTTTAAGACCGTCTCCATGTTGGCCTCCTTTCTGGGTAACGTTGCTGTCTCCTACCTGGCAAAGTACCTGTTTGAGAGCGGCAAGATTTCACACAAATACGACTTCCTGGATGCAGTGGTGTCCAAGCACAGTGGAGAGATTATGGATAAGACGACGCTTGTGACCCGTGGAAACAACATTGGGCTGTCGGAGATGGCGCCCGTCAAACCGCGGCTGAGCGTGACCTTGGCGGCGGCCTTCAAACGGCGAGACACACTGGCGGCTGAAACAGTGGAGGAGGAGGATGAGTCCAGCCCTGATTCCTCCCACCATGATGAATAATGACAATCTCAGGAAGAAAAGAAAAAAACTTGAGAGTGAACTGTCAGAGAACTGGTTACTCTGTCTGACCTTCCAAAAAGAAAAAGGACGAGCAAACATCCGCCCTTGGGACTACAGAAGTACCACAGCCAGCATGTGGTGATACCAGCCACATGGCGGATGTATAAAGTAGAAGCCTGCTAATGTCAGGACATGAAGTTCTCTTTCTGTGAAATACATCAAGCATTCACTCATATAGTACTTAGATAGTAGGGTGTACAGCATCCGTTTTGATTGGTCTCCTTAAAGAAAACTGTCTTAATTTAAATTATTTTCTTCCTTATTTATCACTAAGAAAAAAGCAGATCAAACTGGAGGAGACGTGAGTGCAGATAGAGATGCTGCATGCAGTTTCTACAGAGGAGAAGTAGTGCAATATTTGATGAGGTAGGAAATGGCAAGTATTTAACAAGAAGCAAGTGATGGCACAAGCATAGTTAGAAGGTGGAGGGTTTAATGTACCACATCAATAAAAGCAATAACACATACACATAGTTTGAACGCCTGTTTAAAATAGGATTGTGAGAGTGGAAGTAAAAAAGGAAAAGGAAAACAAAAGTAAGAAAAACCGGATTTTATAGCTTTAATGTCATATCAAGCCACTGAAATTATGTTATGTGCAGCAAACATTTGTATCAATGAAATTATTGTGTTTTGATTCGGGAATCAACTCACACGTAAATATTAACCAACACCCTCAACTCATTAAGTTTGATACAGTTTTGACAGGCTTATTCACAAAAACTGGTAAACCCATGATGACTGTGAATCAGGAAATAAACAATCATTGTATTAAGCTAAGTAGAAAATATACAAGTAGTAAGAGTAGTTGACTTGAAGCATTAGCTGATATTCTCTTTAATGTCAGGTGTAGATTTTATTCATAACTATCAGTGTAAATTAGTGTTTAAAATGTTCTTATATTAAGCTGCCTTAATGAAGCTCGTAAAAACAGAATATTGAATTCCCACAGTTCTGACTGGACTCTGGCTCTGAACAAAGACTTGAATATGAATGTAACCTCTAAGATAAGATAAGATAAGATGGTACTTTATTGATCCCAATTTTGGAAAATGTTTTTGTTGCAGCAGTATAAAAATATCTCAATATATCGAGTAGTGAACTTCTACTGCTGTTTGTGTATGTTTTGTTTGTGATTTTGCAAAGTCAAGCAGTAGCTATTGTAAACAATGTGGCGGCAGGTCCTGCTTCACGTATATATTCAGCAGTGTACAGAATATTTTCACTGTGAAGTGTATGTTTGTATAAATATGGAGAATAATACATACATAGATAACAAATTATGCTGTTTAAAAATGTTCATATAAGATAGAAAGGATGCTGTCTAAATGTTTATTTATTTTTGATGTCATAAAAGATGAAACAATAAAAAAAGAACAAAATATTTCAGGAAAATATATAAATTCTACTTTTGTAGCAAGATAAAATTGGTATGACACATTTCTTCTTCTGACAAACACTGAATACTGGAGGGATTATGTGAACTAATTTATTTTAAAATTATTTAAATCATTTTAATTAATTAAAATGATGTTTCTTAGCTGTTTATTGGTGGTGATGCTGAAACATGAAAAACATCGCGGACGAGAATGTGAGGCATGGGATGACTTTGACCAAAGCTATGTTGACTTGTGTTTAACCAATCATTTTACTGTTGGATTGTCGTATGTTTTTAAACTTAACTTTAAAGGTACAATTATCTTGAGAGAAAGAGCAATTATCAGATGTTGCTGTCCTAGTCTGTAATTATTTTGTGACCCCTCAGATTTATTTTACGGCCCTTGTTTAAAAGGGATATATTTTTCCATATTTTATTGTTAAGCTTAAAATATTGTATTTCAAGCTTCAGACTTTCATCTGTCTGTTATTGTAAAACATGTATGTATATGCATTTTTTAGGTTAACATATTTCTTTAGAAAAAGGTTATTGCATTTGCAGGCGGCCCCAGCTCTCCTTATCTGTCGGGCCCTTCAGCTAGCTGGATGGTAGACGGACAATGAGAACATGTCCGAAAACGTGACTGAAATTACAATCGCTTGGCTTGCATCTTTGTTCCTCTCCACGGCCACAGTGAAAGACGGCATCTTAAAATAGCTCTGCTCTCTGGTTATTTACATTACCTTAAGTGCTGTACTCTCTCGTCTGGTACTCGGGGAGGAGCCATGCGGCGGTGGGTGGGGCAGGAAAGATGGACTTGGGCAGGGGGGTTAGAAAGGTTGTAGCTTACTGGCAACCGTTACCATAAAATCCATCAACGGATGCGCAGGAATGACGCAGGTGCCCCACCCATCCACCGCACCTCCTCCCTCCATCACTGGTGTCCTTTGTGACGTCCTTGAGAACTAAGAGCAATCACGTAAAAAGAGCAGAGGGTGGAGGAAGGGAGAGTGTCCCATCTCCATTCATAGAAAGTGCCTCAGAGAGCACTCATGATAATTAACAATTATGAAGGAAAACAGTCGCTTGTCCAAAAGTCAATCCATTTATTCAAGGATTTGCGGGTGAGGGGGAGAACGTTGGGGGATGGCGTTTACTTTCTTCTAGAGCATTTGGATGTGAACCAAAACAGATGTAACCGTGTATAACTACTGGATATATTTAGAACGTCCTATGATGTCTTTCCAGGAGTCATTGATAATGCCAGTGAACACTTTTGTTCTGCATGTTCAAATTATTTGGGCCTTTTTGTTTGTCTGTTCTTCTACCAAAGCTAATATTTACTTTATTTTAACAGTAAGAACTCCAGATTATGTCATTTTGCTTTCATATTTATTAAATTAAAGTTGAGTCAATCGGTTAAAGACCATGCAAGTTACCCCTTCAAACCTCTCGCACATATCTTTTGGTAGTCTTGGACAGGTGAAATATTGTTTATTATATGATGTACTTATATCAGAAAGGAGAACCAGCAGACTTTAACTCTGGTTGATGGAATCTGAAAATGAACCTTTTTTCTTTCACTAACTTTTGATCTGCTACAGCTGTCTACCTTCTATTCCCAGACTATCCTCAGAAGATAAGAAAGAATTATTGGAATCAAGATCCCATTCGAGCACTTTTCCTCAACGAGGACATGACGAGATGAGATTAAAGAGCCGACCATGCAGTCAGATATACATAGCATGCTGGAGTCAGGCTACCTTCAGAGCTCTCTCTGACTTGAAGCAAGGAGACTGTCCAGGTATCACACTGCTGGCTGCTGATTTGTAATCTGAAATATTGTTGTTTAACTCAGACCCACATTTGCCCTTTTTCCAGCCTGAGCACCTGTGGTAAATCTAGCTAATTACAACTATCAGACTAGGCTACCACGTTACATAAATGAGGTCAACATAATAGCATCAACAAAAATAATTACAAAAATAAATTCCATTGCAACAATGCCTGAAATATTACCATGAACTCAACAACATTTTCATTTAAGAACTACACAGTAGAACAATAAACATTCCCCACAAAAACATAGTAGAAATGTAGTTTTAGTTTAAAGGGGCACTCCACCAATTGAAGACGTGACGCTCAGCTTACTAATCATAAGAACAGTTGCATAATGCCTGCAATATTAACTGGGCGTATGCAGTATGCAAAATGGAAATGTACCTGGCAGGGACTGCTCATGAAAGACACTATTTAATCACATTAAGACAGTTTAAGTATCCTAGAATTTTGGAGAATGACTCATACTAGCAGACACAAAAAATGAATATCCCTCAACCTCTCCTGCTCCCATTTTGTCCTTTCTTTAAGGGGCCTTAAGCTACCACATCATACTTGTGCAAGTTGCATTCTGGGATGTGATTGGATTCCACATCTGGGTGTCACAAAATCCTGCTTATATATGCAGAGAAAATGTTCTACGTCAGCAGATCCAAACATCCATCATTCGGCACAGTGAGGGTCAAACATCGAAATTAATGAACAATATCTTTAACCCGTGTTTTAAGTTGAGGGGGTGCTTTAAATGTATTATTGTAAGTACAGAAACAGTTAAAAATGTGTGATTTGAACAGGATGTAGACTAGAGCATCGAATATGGTTTCCTAATCAGATTGTCTCTTCTCCAGAAATCGTGACACACGGCAGCTCATATCTCATCTGGCTGAGGCACCATCACATTGGCGGGGTCACTATTTATGTCCCTCTTAAGTAATGTCCCCTGTAATGTAATTGCAAGGCATCTAATTGAAACATCGGAGGAGAGGGAGGGATGCAGAAGAAGAAGAATTGATGTAGGTTTCAAAGGGATATATGACAAGTGTGTGGTAAATGTAGAAGAAAAATATTTGGCACAGACATCATGTCATGTCTAATTGTTTCCCACATATCTCTCCATCTCTTCCATTAGTCCCTCCAAGCAACTGAGGAGCATCTTTAGCAAAATGAATGTAGCGACTGCTCTAATTCAATCAGCCCGAGACTTAATTATAGGACCAGCCTTGTTTTGCTCGGGCCGGCTGCAGGTAGAACCGTCTGGGGCTCACCGAGAGGAAGAGGCAACTGCTCCTCCAACCGCAAACCCCTCTGAGTCTAAATGAGTCCGAGCCATGAATCAGCTTCTCTCATTGGGAATTAGAGCTGTGACTAAAACAGTTACTCACATCTTCCGAGACTAGATTTTACAAGTGGTGGAGAGCCATTAGGTTCATGGACGTATGGAGAGTCAGTGGTGCAGGGAATGAGACACAAAAAAGAGCTTTTGCATTAGAAGTTCATAATTTCATAAGGGGCTACAGATATGTATTTGCTCAAATATATTTCTGCAAGAGTTTCACCTTGTTTCACATTACCCTCTTGAGTAGCCTTGCCAAATAACTCACATTTTGCCATTTCAGATGCCGGCAGTGAAGGAATTTCAAAGTAAAACAATTTATTTCCTTTTGATACCTGTCAAAATGTTGCAATATCTAGCTGTTAGTGTCAAGTCAATTAGGGTTCTCAACAAATTGCTTTACATTTTTACAATGCGATTGTACAATTGATCACTAACTTACAAATTATTATAATGTCAATTGCTTGATTTCTTAAACCCAAATGTTATGGTTGAATCAGAACAGAGAAGATGAATTGATGCAGTTAAAACTATAATATTGCT